CCCCGCTTCTGTCTTTCCCCGCTTCTGTTTTTCCCGCTTCTGTCTTTCCCCACTTCTGTCTTTCCCCGCTTGTCTTTCCCCGCTTCTGTCTTTCCCCGCTTCTGTCTTTCCCCACTTCTGTCCTTCCCCACTTCTGTCTTTCCCCCCTTGTCTTCCCTTCCTTGTCTTTCCTTCCTTATCCTTCCCCCCTTCTGTCTTTCCCTTTTCTGTCTTTCCTCCCCTTCTGACTTTTTCCCTTTTTGTCTTTGTCCCCTTCTGTCTTTCCCCTCCCTTCTATCTTTCCCCCCTTCTGTCTTTCCCCTCCCTTCTATCTTTCCCCCCTTCTGTCTTCCCCTTCTGTCTTCCCCTTCTGTCTTCCCCTTCTATCTTCCCCTTCTATCTTCCCCCTTCTGTCTTCCCCGCTTATGTCTTTGTCCCTTCTGTCTTACCCCTTCTTCGTCCCCCCTTCCGTCTGCCCCAAGGTCTTTCCCCCCTTCTGTATTTCTTGTCTTTTTCGCCTTTTGTCTTTCTCTCCTTCTGTCTTTCACCCCTTCCGTCTTTTGCCCCCATTCTGTCTGTCTCCCCTTCTGTCTGTCTGTCCCTACTTCTGTCTGTCTGTCCCTACTTCTGTCTGTCTGTCCCTACTTCTGTCTGCCTGTTTGTCTCTCCTTCTGTCTGTCTGTTTATCTTCCCTTCTATCTGTTTGTATCCCCTTCTGTCTGCCTGTCGCCCCTTCTGTCTGCTTGTCGCCCCTTCAGTCTGCATGTCCCTCCTCTCTGTCTGTCCCTCCTTCTCTGTCTGTTTCCCCTTCTGTCTTTCTGCCTTTCTGTTTCTTCCCCTTCTGTCTTTCCCTCCTCGTCTTTCACTCTTCTGTCTTTCCTACTCTTCTGACTTTTACCCCCTACTGTCTTTTACCTCCTTCTGTCTTTCCCCCTTCCGTCTATACCCCACTTCTGTTTTCCCCCCTTCCGTCTTCCTTCTTCTGTTTGCCCCTTCTGTCTTCCCCCTTCTGTTTCCCCTCTGTCTTCCCCCCTTCTATCGTTCTCCTCTTTTCTTTCTCCCCTTTTATCGTTTTCCCCTTGGCTTTTTTGCCTTCTGTCTTTCTCTCCTCCTCCTATCTTTCACCCCTTCTGTCTTTCAACCCTTCTATCTTTCATCTTTCTCCCCCATTTTGTCTGTCTCCCCTTCTGTCTCTTTGTCTCCCCTTCTGTCTGTTTGCCTCCCCTTCTGTCTGCCTGTCCCCCCTTCTCTCTCTCTCTCTCTCTCTCTCTCTCTCTCTCTCTCTCTCTCCTTCTTTCTGTCTATCTTCCCTTCTCTGTGTCTGCCTCTCCTCTTTCTGTCTGTCTCCCCTTCTGTCTTTCTGCCTTTCTGTTTTTATCTCCTTCTGTCTTTCCCCCTTGTCTTTCCCTCCTCGTCTTTCCCTCCTTCTGTCTTTCCCCCTCTGTCTTTCACTCTTCTGCCTTTCCTCTCCTTTTAACTTTCACCCCCTTCTGTCTTTTACCTCCTTCTGTCTTTCCACCGTTCCGTTTATCCCCCACTTCTGTTTTCCCCCCTTCTGTCTTCCTTCTTCTGTCTTCCTCCTTCTGTTTCCCCCTTCTGTTTTCCCCCTCTGTCTTCCCCTCTTCTGTATTTCCCCCTTCTGTCTTCCCCCCTTCTGTCTTCCCCCCTTCTGTCTTTCCTCTCCCTTCTGTCTTTCCTCTCCCTTCTGTCTTCCCTCCTTCTGTCTTTCTTTCTTTCCTCTTCTGTCTTTCTTTCTTTCCCCTTCTGTCTTTGTCCCTTCTGTGTTTCCGCTCCCTTCTGTCTTTCCCCCCTTTTGTCGTTCTCCTGTTGTCTTTCCCCCCTTTTGTCGTTCTCCTCTTGTCTTGCCCCCCTTTTGTCGTTCTCCTCTTGTCTTTCCCCCCTTTTATCATTCTCCCCTTGTCTTTTTCGCCTTCTGTCTTTCTCTCCTCCTCCTGTCTTTCACCCCTTCTGTCTTTCACCCCTTCTGTCTTTCAACCCTTCTGTCTTTCACCCCTTCTGTCTTTCAACCCTTCTGTCTTTCTCCCCCATTCTGTCTGTCTCCCCTTCTGTCTGTCTGTCTCCCCTTCTGTCTGTCTGTCCCCTCTTCTGTCTGTCTCTCTCCCCTTCTGTCTGTTTGTCTCCCGTTCTTTCTACCTGTCTCCCCTTCTTTCGGTTTGTCTCCCCTTCTGTCTGTGTGTCTCTCCTTCTTTCGTCTGTCTCTCCTGTCAGTCTTCTGTTTTTCTCCTTTTGTCTTTCTATTCCTCTGTCTTTTTGTCCTTCTATCTATCTGTTCCTCTCTTTCTACTCCTGCCTTTGTTTCCTTCTGCCTCTCTATCCTTGTGCCTCCCTACTGTACTATTGTCTTTCTGTTCTTCTGTCTTTTTGTCTTTCTATTTAATGGCTTACTGTCTTTATGTTCCTGTCTTTCTCTCCCTCTTCGTTCTATCTCTCTTTCTCCCCTTTTGTCCCTGTCGTTTTTCCCTGCGTCATTCTGTCCCTGTCCTCTTGTCCCTGCTACCTTCTATCCCTGTCCTTTCGTCCCTGGGCCCTTCTGTCCCTGTTCTTTTGTCCCTCTGTCATTTTGTTCCTCTGTTCTTGTGTCATTTTGTTCTTTGTCTCTCTGTCCTGTCTCTCAGTCTTCCCGTCCCTTTACACCTCAGACTTCCTGTCCGGTCTTTTTGCCTTTTGTACTTGTTTCCTTGGGTCTTTTTGTTGTTGTCCTTTTGTCCTTGTGTTCTTTTGTCTTTTCGTCCTTGTGCCCTTTGCCCTTCTGTTCTTTAGCGCTTATGTCCTTTGCCCTTCTGTCCTCTTTCTGTCTCTCTATCCTCTCTCTTTTTGTCCTTCTATCTATCTCTTCCTATCTTTCTACTCCTGTCTTTGTTTCCTTCTGCCCATCTGTCCTTTTGCCTCTCTACTGTACTATTATTGTCTTTCTGTTCTTTTGTCTATCTGTTTTGTCTTTCTATTTTCTGTCTTTCTGTTTTTCTATTCTTATGTCTTTCTGTTTTCTGTTTTTCAGTTTTTCCGTCTTTCTGTTTTCTCTATTTCTATTCTTCTGTCTGTCTGTCTGTCTGTCCGTCCGTCCCTCTGTCTTTCTGTTGCTGTCTTTCTTTCCCTCTTCGTTCTATCCCTCTGTCTTTCTTCCTTTCTGTCCGTGTCGTTTTGTTCGTGCGTCCTTCTGTCCCGATCCTTTTGTCCCCCTGTCCTTTTGTCCCTCTGCCCTTTTGTCCGTCTGCGATTTTGTCCGTCTCCCATTTTGTCCGTCTGCCATTTTCTCCCCCTACCATTTTGTCTCTCTGTCCTTTTGTTCCTCTGTTCTTGTGTCCTTTTGTCCTTGCGTCCTTTTGTTCTTTATCTCCCTGTCCTTCTGTCTCTCAGTCTTCCTGTCCCTTTCCCCCTCAGACTTCCTGTCCAGTGTTTTTGCCTTTTGTACTTGTGTTCTTGGGTCTTTTTGTTGTTGTCCTTTTGTTCTTGTGTTCTTTTGTCCTTGTGTGCTTTGTCCTTCTGGGTTTTTGTCCCTCTGAATTTTTGTCCTTTTGACCTTCTGTCCATTTGTCCGCCTCATCCCTCAGTCTTACTGCCTCTCTTGTTTTCCGGTCCTGTCTTTTGCCCTTTAGTACTTGTCCTTGTGTCCTTGTGTACTTTAGTTCGTGTACCTTTTTGTCCTTGTGCCTTTGTGTCCTTGCGTCTTACACTTATGTCTCTCGGTCTCTCTCTCTGTCTGTCTGTCCTGTGCATCTTTCTTTCTGTCGTCTATCCTGTGATTTTATTATACAACTACTGGAACTGTTTACTTCACACTTTTGGTTGGTCATTTAGATTATACCATCTAGATTAAATACTAACCAAAATTTCGTCATTCATTTCCACCAATAATTTAATGACGTTATTTCAAAATTTTATTACACCCTCGAAATCTAGATTTTTGGAAAAAAAATCAAAATATTTATGTAACAGTATTTTGCAATTTAAGTTAAAAACTAGAAAACAAAATGGTCTGAAATTTTGAAAACATTTTAAGGTCATCATGAGCATAATAAATCGCCCATCAAAATTTATCTGTTTATCTCTTTCAAAAATTTGACATCTTCACAAAATTTTTATTAGCAAGTTTCTTACCTACTTTATTTTAACTTAAGGGGTTATAATATAAAAAAAATAAATTCACAAAAACAAATTACAATATTTAGTGTAAAAACACATGGCACCGTAAAAATGTACATGGAATTGTAAAGTAAAAATATCTGTAATAACAAAAACATACGACACATCGAATCATAAAAAAATCGACCAACATTTACAGAAAACTCGGCTTCGATTGATCCGTTCTTTGTTGGTTTTAATCAGTGATGTCAGCCACCGACAATAGTAGGACAAGTGTTTTCTGAAAGCGAAAAACAGATAACTTTTCGTCGAGTGGATCTTTTTACTAAAATGAGCAACTAAAAGAAAAATATTCACACTTAATTTTTACACACTGGACAATAATAAACTCGCCAGATCTAATTCTAATTTCGAATATAAATGTGTAATAAAAGTTGTGATTTGCTATTCTGTTCAGTTTTAATCCAACAACGCAGTTCGCTTGTTCAAACTTCATTCACAGATTAATTTTAATGACGTTTCTATTGTTACAAAGCCATAAAATGCAATTTTCATTAAGTAGCCACTTCAGATAGATGCATTTACTATTGTTTTCATTCAAGTACACAAAATGTGAAACTTTGTTTGAAAAATGCACACTGAAACTCGGCTTATTCCGATAAGAACCCTTACTTAATTAAAAATCAATCTGTCCCCAATCGCGACGCCCACATCCCCCGTATCCGCGAAAGTGAAAGCCCCACACCTGTGACGAAAGCGTCCATTCACACACCATGACTTTTTCTATTTCGGGCGTGCATTATTCATCCCAACAGCATCCAGGAAACGAAACACACCATTCCACTTCCCAGGCAATTATTATCTGCACAGTTGACTGATTCGCATAGAAAAAAGTGCCACTAATCAAATACTTTCAGATACGACAATGACGACCTTCACTGCTTCGAACTCAACACGACAGGAAAGAGCAGAGGCGGTCATGTTTATGGTACACGTGATATCGCGGAGCGGCGAGTGTGGATGCGATGCATCGCGGAAAGCCTGACCAAGAAATTTCCGGCGAAAATCAGCACGGAGTATACCAGGATGGGGTGGGCGTACCTCAGAGAAGGTAACGAGGCGGAAAATTCGCCGATGTGGCGGTGGGTGTCACCTGAGCCGCCTCTTTTTTTTGTTTATATAATTGTCAGCATGTATAGTAGAACGTTTGGTATTTCTGTTGTCCGAGATACGAACAAAAAAGTAGTTAGTATATTGCTACTGCTCGTTAAATTGCACGTTTCTAACAGACAAAGTAAGAAATATGTGAGTAATACAGAGAGTTGCAGTAGCAAATGTGGTCCTAAGAAAGTGAGAAAAGCATTTTATCGGTCTAATTAACGTAAAATGGCAATTCATAACTGGGTGTGCTGTAGGTGTACATCTGAATCATTGAAATATGAATCGAACGAAATTTGTCGGGAACGTTTTGGAATGCGTAGCGTTCGAGAACTTCAAATATATAGGTTTTATTATTTTATAAAAATATAAGTCGTTGGTATTTACTTAGCACCGAGAATTTATAATTGTAATAGTTTTTAGATTTTGAAGCGCACTATTAGTCAAAAGTCGCGTCAGAATACTTGTTTTTCGAAAAGCATCATTAATAAAAAATAAATTAGTGCAGTGGACTGAAAAAACAGTAATTTCAATGTTGACGTCGGAGTCACCTGGAGACACAACAAAATTTAAATAACAAATATAGTGCATCGTTTTATTTTGAGTTCTCCATATCTCTGTATGTATTTCAATTATAAATATGTTTATGTGTCTGTCTATGCAGAGGAGGCACTTCGAACGTCAATTTTAAAACTACCTTTTTAAAAATATCGTTTCATTAACAGCAGAAAACAAGTCTCAAGAGTAGTTTTAAGAAGGCTATGTATATACTTCCCTCAACGGTCTCTAACCTGGTTGGTTGCCTACGTTATTATTGAATGCTTTTATAATTCTTATTTTTCAAGTATGATTTCGTGGCATGTTTTTTTTTTCTTAGGGCGAAATTTAAATTTCAAATTCAACGCGCCACAACCCCGTTTAAATAATAATTTGAATTTCGGTTAATTTTACAACCACCACGACTAGATATCAACTAGGTGGTGAATTTATAACAGAACAGTTAATGACAGTTCTGTCCCAGTTGAGGTTTATGAATCCGTGTTAAATTTTTACATTAGGCATCCACATTTTTGGGAAAAATAAAAATTTTATAATATTTTATAATTGCAAAATCGAATGCTAAACGTTAATTAAATGTTAAAAAGTCCTGAGCTTGTAATTTATGAATAACGAATTTTCAATTTTTTGGTTTTTCGATTTTCAATTTTTCAATTTTCGACGTTTCTAAACTTTAAATTTTTCGATTTCTCAATTTCTGGATTAATCGATTTTTTTGATTTTCCCATTTCTCGATTTTGCAACTTTTCAATGTTTCCATTTTTCACCAATTCTCCAATTTTGTGGTTTTGGATTATTTCAATTCAATTTTTTGATTTTACGTTTATCAATTTCCAGACTTTTCGATTTTTCAGTTCTTTGATATTTCTATTTTTCAATTTTTGGATTTTTTGGCTTTTCAAATTTTTGATGTTCCAATTCTCGATCTCCCGATTTTTCGACTTTTTTTTAGATTTTCGTTTTTTTTTTTAAATTCTCAATTTTCAACTTTTCGATTTTTCCATTTTGTCTTATTTCGAGTTCTCAATTTTTCAATTCAATATCCCAATTTTTCGTCATTTCAGTTTTTGAATTTTTTTTTCTCAATTTTTCAAATTTTTGATTTTCGATTTTTCGATTATTAAATTTTAAGCTTTTCAATTTTTTGGTGTTTCGGTTTCTCCATTTTCAATTTTTTAGATTTTTAGATTTCTCTATTTTTCAAGTTTCAGTTGCTCAATTTTTCAACATTTCGATTTTAGGAACTTTTCAATCTGCGCTTCAATTTTTCGACTTTCTAAATTTTACATTTTTCAAGCTTCAATTTCATGATTTCTCAATTTTTAATATTTCAGTTTTTAAAATATTAGATTTTTCCATTTCTCGATTTTTCACTTCTTTGATACTTCAATTTTTGGAATTCTTAAATTTTCAATTTTTTACTTTCGTGATGTTCGATTTCTCTAAACTTTTTTTTTATTTTTCAATTTTAACTTTTCGATTTTGGCCTATTTTTATTTCTCAATTTTTTTTGGAATTTTTCGATTTTTTAAAATTTGAAGTTTCGGTTCCCCGGTTTTTGGATTTTTAAATTTTAGATTTTGAATTTTCAATTTTTCGATCATTTCTTTTGTTTCCATGTCCCAATTTTTCGATTTTTCACATCCATATTTCTATTTTTCAATTTTTCGAATTTTTATATTTTTAAGTTTTTCAATTTTTAGATTTCTCGATCTTTCAAGTTTTCGATTTCAATTTTGGAAACTTCAATGTCTGGATTTTAAAAATTTTCCATTTTTCGACTTTGTAAATGTCACATTTTTCGACTTTGTAAATGTCACATTTTTCGATTTTTAAAAATTTCCTACTTCAATTTTTCGATTTTTCAATTTTTCAATGTTTCAGTTTTTTAATTCTTCAGTTTTTCTTCCATTTATCAATTTTTCGATATTTTAATATTTCAATTTTTTAGTTTTGTGATATTTGATTTTTCAATTTTTCGCTTTTTTAATTTTTTAATTTCCCAAATTTTCGTCATTTCAATTCTGGAATTTTTCAATTTTTTAAAATTTCAAGTTCGTTTCCTCAGTTCTTGGATTTTAAACTTTAGATTTTGGATTTTTTAATTTTTCCATCTTTTTTTTCCCATGTGTCGATTTTTCAACTTTTCACTTCCATATTTCTAGTTTTCAATTTTTAAAATTTTTCGACTTTTCGATTTCTCGATTTTTTGACATTTCAATTTTGGGAACTTCAATTTCTGGATTTTTAAATTTTTCAATATTTCAACTTTATAAATGTTACATTTTTCGATTTTTAAGAATTTCCAACTTCAATTTCTCGATTTCTCAATTTTTCAGTTTTGGGGTTTTTCATTTTTGCAGGTCTTCGATTTTTCTTCCATTTTTCAGTTTTCTGATATTTTAATATTTCAATTTTTGGAATTTTTAAATTATCAGTTTTTTGTTTTGTGATGTTTCGGTTTCTCTGTCTTTCCATTTTTGGACTTCTCTGTTTTGGATTTTTTAATTTTTCAATTTTTCGATTTTAAATTTTCCAATTTTAACTTTTCAATTTTGGCCTATTTTTGTTCCTCAATTTTTCGCTTTTTTAATTTTTTAATTTCCCAATTTTTCGTCATTTCAGTTTAGAAATTTTTCAAGTTGTCGATTTTTCTTTCAGATTTTTGACACTTCAGTTGTCCGACTTTTCAATTTTTTAAAATTTGGAGTTTTGTTTTCTATGTTTTTGGATTTTTCAAATTTAGATTTTGGGTTTTTCAACTTTGTCGATCTCTTTTTTTTGTTTCCATTCGTCGATTTTTCAATTTTTCACGTCCATGTTTCTATGTTTCAATTTTTCGATTTTTGATTCTTCAATTTTCTCATTTTCAATTTGATTTTTGAGTTTTTCAATTTTTTACATTTTTCAATTTTTAAGAATTTCCAGCTTCAGTTTCTCGATATCTCAATTTTCCGATATTTTAATATTTCAATTTTTGAAATATTAGATTTTTCCATTTCTCGATTTCTCAGTTATTTGATACCTCAATTTTTGAAATTTTTTAATTTTTTAGTTTTGTGATTTAAATTTTCCATTTTCAACTTTTCCATTTTGGCCTATTTTCATTTCTCGATTTTTGGCTTTTCAGTTTTTGAGATTTTTGATTCTTTTCAATTTTCCGATTGTTTAGTTTTCAATTTTTTAAAATTTGGAATTTTAAATTTCAGATTATGGATTTTTGAATTTTGCGCTCTTTTTTTTTTGTTTCCATTTCCAGATTTCTATTTTTCAATTTTTCGAATTTTGAAATTTAATTTTTGAGTTTTACGATTTTTTACATGTTTCGACTTTTCGATTTTTAGATTTCTCGATTTTCTATTTTTTACATTTTTTGATTTTTAAGAATTTCCAGCTTCAATTTCTCGATTTCTCAATTTTTCAATGTTTCAGTTTTGGGGTTTTTCACTTTTGTAATTCTTCAATTTTTCTTCCATTTTTCAATTTTCTGAGATTTTAATATTTCCATTTTTGGAAATTTTAGATTATCAATTTTTTGTTTTATGATGTTTCGGTTTCTCTGTCTTTCCATTTTTGGTCTTCTCTACTTTAGATATTTTTATTTCTCGATTTTTCGCTTTTTCAATTTTTTAATTTCCCAATTTTTCGTCATTTCAGTTTTGAAATTTTTCAAGTTCTCGATTTTTCAGATTTTTCAATTTTTTAAAATTCGCAGTTTCGTTTTTTATGTTTTTGGATTTTTCAAATTTAGATTTTGGATTTTTCAATTTTTCGATATTTTTTTTGTTTCCATTCGTCGATTTTTCGATTTTTCACTTCCATGTTTCTGTTTCAACTTATCGATTTTTGGATTTTTGATTCTTCAGTTTTCTCATTTTTCAATTTGATTTTTAAGTTTTTCGATTTTTTACATTTTTCGATTTTTAAGTTTCCAGCTTCAGTTTCTCGATTTCTCAATTTTTCAATTTTCCGATATTTTAATATTTCAATTTTTGAAATATTGGATTTTTCCATTTCTCGATTTTTCAGGTCTTTGATACCTCAATTTTTTAAATTTTTAAATTTTCAATTTTTTAGTTTTGTTATTTCTCAATTTTGGCTTTTTCAATTTTTGAGGTTTTTGATTCTTCAATTTTCCGATTGTTTAGTTTTTCAATTTTTAAAATTTGGAGTTTTGTTTTCTCGGTTTTTGGATTTTTAAATTTTAAATTTTGGATTTTTCAGTTATGCGATCTTTTTTTTTTGTTTCCGTTTCTCTTTTTTTGAGTTGTTTTCTCTGGCACTCTTTATCTCTTTGTGATATCACAATTCAGAAGTTAATAATAATGTTAAAATTTTATAATCGAATTAACCACTTTTGACGAATTTTGACGATAAAATAGTTTCATTTTATGCCAAATTGCCTAATTTGTGATTGGAGGAAATTAAAAAATGAGGTGGCACAGTTGACGTGAAAAAACTCAGCCGTGTATATTAACATAAATATGTATGTACCAAATCTGCATGTACCAAATCTGTAGGAGTCAGTGGTCGATGGGTCGGCGCCTGGTTGATGTTAGCCGGTCGAACCCTATACTACGCAATCGACAATCAATCCACCAAGAACCTAGACCTCCGACAAGTTCGTTGCATGCTTCTCCAAGTCTACCAAGAGAGCGATAACAACCCGCGTACCAACGATAAGGGTCCCAACATCGTCGTCGACACACCTAATGTCACCCTATACTTGCGCATGTGGACATCCAGAGAAACCAAGGTAAGGTTAAATTTTTTCTCCAGAAACTGCGTTTAACCAACTATCTATCTATATTTCAAGCTTGCGTGGCTTTAAAGGTATTTTTCCAAAGCTTAACTGACTATTCCTATTGGTTCCGAGTTTGACAGACAATTTTTGCAGGTCTGGTGCCACATTGTCAAGTTGGCGGCTCACAATAACGGGGCCTACTTGGATCAGCAGCAGCTGACTAAGAACGAAATCCCGGTTTTGGTGGAGAAGTGCATCAACTTTATTTATACTCATGGTGGGGTATAGTGTGGGTGAGGTTAGGGATGAGTTTTGAGTGTTTGCTTGTAGGTAGTATGTCCGAGGGGATTTATAGGCGTCCGGGGACTAACACGTCGGTGGCTGAAATTTTGACCAAGTTTCGTAAAGACGCCTGGGCTGTGCAGTTGACCGTTGATAAGTCCACCGAACACGATGTTGCCACAGCGCTGAAGAGGTTCTTCAGGGATTTGCCAGAGCCGGTGTTGAGTAGTACCCAGCGCCAGTATTTGCATCAAGTATCGAGTGAGTAATTTGTTGAGATTGAAATCAAACGGGGCTTTTATCAATTATTATGTTGTCTATAGTGGTCAAGAACAAAGAAGAGCGAATTAGAATGTACAAAGCCTCCCTAGACCAGCTCCCCCCGATATCGTACAAAACGGCGAAAAAATTATTCAGTCACCTCCACTTCATCGCGTCACAAAGCAACAAAAATCTAATGACTGCTGAAAACTTGGCCGCAGTGTGGGGGCCAAGCTTGATGCACCAAGAGGTAGAGTCCACGAAGTCACACTATCCCTATTAACTTTCACGTTTACCCACAGGAGAAAGACAACTCGGTTTCCAACAGCAAGCATCTACAAAACGTGATCGTCGTGAAACAGCTCCTGGAAATGTACCGCGATATCTTCCCCGAAGACCCCACGGAAATCGAAAAGGAGAAAATTATGCTGCAGGTGTTGGAAAAGCACAGTCAAGGGCCACAATCTGGTATTAATTCCAAAGGCGCTGGTGATTTTCGGGTGTGGATTTATTTGCACAATAAGGAGGGACAGCCGGTCAATATTGCGGTAAGTGCGCATAGCGGTTGCGCATGCTTGACTTAACGTTGTGACGTGTGCAGGTTGGACCTAACAAGACTGCGTATGACGTTTGTGTGGAGTTAAGTCCGAAGATAAACATGCCTGTGCACGAGTTGATTCTAGAGGAGGTGGTTTTGAATGAGAAGTTGCAACGACCTGTACATTTCTCAGAGAAGGTTCGTAATGTAATGAAGTATAGTTAGTCACTTAGTAAATTATTTTTCTGGACGTTTCATGACCCCTACTCTACGAAAAAAGTGGTCTCCCGTTTACGTCTGTCTATGTCATACATACATACATATCTTTATTTTAACTTATAAGGATTATCATAAAAAAAAATCACAAAATCAAACCTTATATTTGTAAAAATTTGGATTTTTTAACTTTCGATCAATTTTTTGATATCGCAATTTTTAGTTTTTTTATTTTCTGTAATTGTTTAATTTTTCTTTTTTCAATATTTCAGCTTCATAATTTTTCGCTTTTCCAATTCTTTCGATTTTTCAGTGTCTCAATTTTTGGTTTTTATTTTTTAATTTACCGATATTTTAATTTTGATTTTCTCGATTTTATTTCACAATTTTTCGTTTCTTCATTTTTGCGTTTATTGAACTTTTCAGTCTTTGATTTTTCAATTCCTTCATTTTCCAATTTTAAAATTTTTCAATTTTGCATTTTTTGGATTTCTCAATTATCCGATTTTCCGATTTTGCACTTTCTCGATTTTTGAGTTTCTCGATTTTTAATCTTTCGATTTTTCAATTTTTCGTTCCATCAATTTTCAAGTTCTTGATTTCCATTTTTTAGATTTTCAAAGTGTTCATTTTATAGTTTTGCAGTTTTTCCATTTTTTTGTTTCGAAAAGTTGAAAATTCGAAAAATTTAATACATAATCGGAAAACTAAAAAATTGGAAAAAAGTGGAAATTCAAAAATTTACAAATCGAAGGACTGAAGAAACAAAAAATTGAGACTGAAAAACTAAAAATCGAGAAACTTAAAAAACGAAAAAATTAATGAATCGAAAAATTGAAAAATCGGAAAATTGCAAAATCTAAATTGAATTGTTGAGATATTAAGAAATCGAAAACTTGAAAAGAAATATAAAAATCGGAAAGTCGAAAAATGTTAATATTCGAAAAACCTAGATGCCAAGAAATCGAAAAATTGAAAAATCAAATTACTCAAATATTAAAAATTTAAAATTCCAAAAATTTAAAAATAGAAATATCGAAGAACCAAAAAATTGAAAATCCAGAAATCGAAATATTAAAAAATCAAAAAATTGAGAAAACCAAAAATCAAAAATTAAAAAATCGAAATCTTGAAAATCGAAAATACAAAATGTGAAAAATCGGGAAATTAAATAAAAAATTTTAAAAAAACGAGAAATTAGAAATGACAAAACCGAAATGACGAAAAATATGGAAATTGAAAAATTGGTAAATCGGAAACATTTGAAATTAAAAAAATCGATAACTTTAAAAAACGAAAAATCTAATTTAAAAATTAAAAAATTAAAATATCGAAATGCAAAATTAGGAAATCGGAAAATTGAAAATTAGACAAGGTAAACAATCGAGAACTCGAGAAATCGAAAATTGATACGATACCTCTAAGATTTAAAAATCGAAAAGTCGAAAAATTGAAGACTCGAAATATTGAAAAAGCCCAAAATTGACATTTCGAAAGATTGAAAAATCCCAGAACTGAAAGAACTGAGAAGTTGGAAAACTGAAAACTGAAATATTGCAAACCAAAAAACTGAAGATATGAAAAAAAAAGAAATTGAAAAGTTCAAAAAATTGAAATGTTGAGGTATTGAAATCGAAAACTTGTATAAAAAAATCTAAAAATCGAAAAGTTGCAAATTTTAAAAAATCGAGAAACATAAATCTTAAAGTCAAAAAAATGAAAAATCAAAATACCGAAAAATTGAAAATCGAGAAATCGAAAGTACAATTAAAAATCGAAAAATTGAAGAATCGAAAATTAGAAATATCGAGAAATTCGCAAATTCCAAAATTGAAATGAGGAAAAATTAGCAAATTGAAAAATTTACAAATTGGAAAGCTAAACACCGAAAAATTTGTAATTAAAAAAAAATCGAAAATTAAAATCTTGACATATTGAAAATTTGGAAATCGAAACATCAAAAAATCTAAAAATTGATAAATCTAAAATGTAAAAATCGGAAAATTGAAAATTCGAAAAGGTCGACAACTTACTCTATAAATCTAGAAATCCGGAAATAAAAAAATTTAAAATTGAAAAATTCAAATATCAAAATGATTGAAAAATCGAGAGATCGAAACATCGAATATTGAAGACCCGAAATATTGAAAAAACCCAAAATTGACATTTCGAAAGATTGAAAAATCCCAAAACTGAAAGAATTGAGAAAACAAAAATTGCAAATTAAAACTAAAAAATTAAAAATTGAAAATTCCTGAAATTGCAAATCAAAAAATTGCAAAATCTAAAAATCGAAACATCAAAAAGTTGGAAAACCGAGAAAGTGAAAAATTTTAAAATGAAAATAGTTGCAAATCGTAAATTTGAAGAAACGAAAAATAAAAAAAAAAATAAAATGGAAATACAAAAAAAGTATTAAAATCGGAACATTGCAAAATTGTAAATAAAAAAAATAAAATAAAAAACCGAAACGAAAAATTACAAATCGAAAATTTAAAGAAATCAAAATCACTGAATTGAAAAATTAAAAATTGAAAACTTGAGAAATTTCAAATCCGAAAATAGTAAAATCTAAAAATTGAAGAAAAGTGAAAAATTCAAAAATCGGGAAATCGAAGAATCGAAAATCTGAAAAATCGAGAACTTCGAAAATTCCAAAATTGAAATGAGGAAAAATTGGAAAATTTAAAAATTAAAAAAATCCATTAATCTAATTTAAAAATTGAAAAATGAAAATATTGAAATATGTATTGAAAATTTGGAAATCCAGACATCAAAAATCGAAAAATTGAAAATTCGAAAAAGAAAACTCGATAAATCTAGAAATCGGGAAATCAAAAATTTTAAAATTGAAAATTAAAACAGAAAAATTGAAAAATCCCGAAACTGAAAGAAGAACTGAGAAATCGAAATATTGAAAACCGAAAAATTGCAAAACAAAAAATTGAAATGTTGAGATCTTGAGAAATCGAAAACTTGGAAAGAAATCTAAAAAGTCAAAAAATTGAAAAATCAAAATCCTCCGATATTAAAAATTTGAAATTCCAAAAATTGAAAAAAGAAAATCGAATAACCGAAAATCTAAAAAATCTAGAAATTCGAAAATTCCAAAATTGAAATGAGGAAAATTGGCAAATTGAAAAATGGGGAAATTGGAAAGCTAAACATTGAAAAATAGGAAAATTGAAAATTCGAACACTCGAAATCCGTGAATAAAAAATTTTAAAACTGAAAAATTAAAATATCAAAAAAATTGAAAAATTGAGAAATCGAAACATCAAAAATTGAAGTCTCAAAATATTGAAAAAGCCCAAAATTGATATTTCGAAAGTTTGAAAAATTGCAAAACAAAAATTTGAAAATCTAAAAACTGAAACATCCCTGAAAGTCGGAAAACCGAAAGACTGAAAAATTTAAAAATTAAAGCTCGAAGAGTTGAAACAATTGTAAAAATAAAGAAAATAAAAACCGAAAAATTCAAAATTGGAAACTCGTGAAACTACAAATAGAAAAATTGCAAATCTAAAAATTGAAACATCCAGAAGTTGGAAAAGCCGAAAACTGAAAAATTCTGAAGATGGAAAATTGAAAAATTTAAAAATTAAAACTCAGAGAACTCGTGAAATTGAAGAAACCAAAAAAATTTAAAATTGTGAAATTGCAAATGCAAAAATGAAACGAAAAATTTAAAATATGTATTAAAATTGAAAAAACAAAAAATTATGAAATTGAAACATTGAAAAATCGGAAAAATTAAAAATAAAGAAAATAAAAAACCGAAAATTAAAAATTTGAAGAAATAAAAATTCAAAAATTCTAAAATGGTAAAATTGAAGAAGTGATTTTTTTTAAATTAATACATAATATTTAAAACGAAAACAAGAAAAAAATCAAAAATTGAAGAAACGAAAAATTTGTAAATCTAAAAGTTGAAGATTCAAAAATTGAAAACCGAAAAATTGCAGATCGAAAAATTATAAAATGTAAAAACTGTAAAATCCAAAAGTTGGAAAATCGCAAAATGGAAGAAACCTAAAATTGTAATTGTAAAACAAAAAGTTATAAAATCGGAATATTGAAAAATTCAATTCTTTATCGATGTTATCAGAAAACAAAAATCTCAAAAAAGTTAAGATTTTTAAAATAAGCGGGATTTAGTGGAAAATTTTATCGAAATAAGCTTCGACCGTTTTTTTGATTTTATTTGTGGTCTAGGTTCTCGACATAGTCCTCAGATGGAGCTACTGGGACGAACCCGACCGCAAAGACAACCACTTAGTCCTCCTCCCGTACACAAAATATTCCGACTTCGTCGTCGACAAAAACACCCCGTTATCAGCCGACCTGAAATTCTCCGACAACCGTTCCAGAGGTTTCAAACTTTACACATTCGAATTTTCGCAAGCCAAACTCAACTGCTACAAAGACCGAACAGTAAGTAACCCGACTTAAGCCCCCACTCCCTAAAGTGCCTCAATTTCAGTGCGACGAAAAACTCTTCAGTTACAACGTGGAAGACATACTGTGGTACTTGGGCAACGAGTCGAAACGCAACCCCCAATCACGATGGACGATCACCTTCATAGAGACCAAAATACACCCACAACGCACCAAAAGTTGCCCCTATTTCGGGAATGTGATAATTTGGGGCGATCCTCACACCAGAGCGAAATGGCTAGGCGCCATGCTCAGGGCTAGATTTAGAGAAAGTCTGAAGCAACCCGCAATGCACGTCAATTTGATGGCGAATTAGTTAAGTCGTAACTATACTTAAGTCTTATTTACGTCATCTAGACTTAATTGGCACCTACAATGTAGGTGGCGAGCAGTGTTACCAACAGGAAATAGTGCATTTATCCGTTAGTGCAATTTACTTACTTTTTACTTAAACTGCACGTGATGTAGTAGTATCCCTTCCACGTATTATATACGCTTTTATGAGTACGGTTTGGCGCTGATTGATGTATATTTTTTTTAAACGGAATGTTTTTTAAAAATGTGGAGGTCACTTTGAAAAAAGCAAGAACGATCGTCTGTGATATAGAAAAGATCAGCTGTGACCTTGGATTGCCTTATACGAAATTTTAATAAGCGGAGATCAGTGTTTGTTGTATATTTTTTATTTTATTATCATGGTACTAGCGCCACCTATTGATTTTGGTTCTAACACATTGCGTCAGCTATTCGTTGCTAAGCATAATTTTATCTGGCAATGTAGCAACAACATGTCACGTGTGCCACATGTATTAGTAGAACAAAAAGTGGACTAAATTGTTTATGCACAAGTGTGCTGTCATAAAACTACAAAAAAAAAAATGTAAAAAATGAAAACAATGCAACTTAGTAGCGTATTCTTTTGCAATACTATGTACAAAAGTTAGTCTTAGCCATTCCTTTCTGTTAGTCTTGCCACAACGGCTGACCCCTTCTATGCCATTTTTAACCATTGTGATCGTTTAATTGTACTTGTAAGGATATACACTGTGAAAACTCTTATGATTTATTTAAATTTTTTACATAAACAAAGTCTCTTTTTACGAGTCCTTAGCAACCATACATTACACACATCTAATGTAGAAAACAATTACACTAAAATCTTTGGGACAAATGACAAAAAGCAGGTACTTTCGTTATCTGAGGTTGGTGAGAACCGTCGGTTGGTTGTCCTCCGTTCTGACTTTGGAATAAGTGTACTTATACCTACTGGCCCAGTGTAAGTAAACATACCAAACTTCCAAAACTCCGGCGATGAGATTCGTAGCACATGAAAAAATGATCAGAATTGTCAGAATACTGTCGACTTCGACGCAACTAAGATCGATATAGTGGTAACTTTGTGTGGACGTGACGGTGTCGTTGCCTGCGCCCATTTGACAGATGCAGGTCTTGTCGACCGTGGTGGAAGTGACACAGGTCATGGAGTACAGCGACACCAAGTGGATGACTGCGAAAGCAAAAGCGGTGAACGAGGCGGCGGCGCCGAGCGCGCTGAGAGTGACGCTGAGGACCTGCAAGCAATGACTTAAGTCGGGTTTGGGACGGAGAGGGGGGTACCTTGATGGCGTATACGAAGTAGTTTCGGTTGGTGCCGGGGTGCTCTTTTCGAAAACAGCAAAGTAAGATTAGGCCCACTAATCCGGAGAGGAGTACCTGTGAAGGTTTTGGGTTAGAAATTGGTGGCTGGGGGTGGGTTACTTACGGGAATGCCGCTCCAGTGGGGGTTGTCGCGTTGTCTTATGTTGGGGGCCCAGAGGAGGAGCCAGAGAGCGAGAAAACATAGCGCGAGGCCGAGGAGGAGGATTAATCCGAGTAGTGCCTTAGCTAGTTTGTGGTAGCGGATTATCGCAGGTAGGTATTTCCGTGGAACTGGAACAAAAGTAATCATGGTTATTACGTCAGTGAGAAGAAAAATTGATTTAAAAATTGGGCAAGGGTTCTTTTGACAGAACTTCCCTCGTCCTTGAAGTAAACATTGAAATAAATATAGACAATACTAGAAATTAGAATAAGTTTATTTGCACAACTAAAATAGTGTACAGAAAAGTAACCCTAATACAAATTACGATTCTAACACACATTAAACATACAATGTAAGATTAAAATAAGTAAATATATAAAACAGTCTAATAAACATAGTCAAATTTAAAACCGACCAACATTAATTAGCCTTGATGTCACCTTCGTTACCATTTAAAATATTAGACCCAAATACGTTGAAATCTCGGTAGGTTAATAATAAATTTCACACAGCTATCTTGGATTTTTTGTAATTTGTTTTTGTATACTCTGAGCCTTGACACCCTATAATTTTTTTCTACTTGAAAATTGAAAAATCGGGAAATTTGGGAACTCTATAATCTAAAAATTTTAAGATCGACAAAATTCTATAATTGAAATAAATACCTGACAAATGAAAAATCAAAAATTGAAAATTTAAATTGATTCATTGTAAAATCGAAATTTTGAAAAATTAAAAATAAAAAAGTTGGAAAATCGAAACAATTAAATTCTGGTAATTGAAAAATCGAGAATTGAATGATTAAAAAGACGAACAGTTTTAGAAATGAAGAATTATAAAATTGAAAATTGAAAAATTGATTAATTAAAAATGAAAACCGAATAATTGTGAGATCCAAAAACTGTAAAAATTTAAAACTGAAAATCAAAAAAGTATCATATCGAAAAATTGCAAAATAATTAATTAATGTGAAATTAAAATTTTGAACAATTAATAACCAAGAAATTGAAAAATTGGATAATTAATTGTAAATTCGAAAATTTATTAAGCTGTAAAAGTGAAAATTGCAAAATTATTAAACAGGAAAAAAATGAAAAATCGAAGGATACCAAAACCGAAAAATTGAAAAATCTATAAATCTATAATATAAAAAACCAGATACCTTTGAAAACGAAAAATTATAAAATAATTAAACTGAAAAGTTGAAATCGAAATTTTGAACCCTTAAAAAATCAAGCAATTGAAAAATTGTAAATTTGTGAACTCGAAAATTTATTGAGCTGTAAAAAAGTCAAAAATGTCAAAATTATTCAATTGAAAAAAAAGAAAAATCGAAAAATTGCAAAATCCATAAATTGTAAATCAAAAATAAAAAAAACTTATTCATTACAAAATTCATTATAAAAATATAAAACTCAAAAATCAAAAAAATTGCAAAATTACAAAATAAAAATCGTATATTAAAGTTGAAAAAATGAAAAGTCAGACAACTGTAAAACAGAAAAATTGCAAAATTATGAAATTGAAAATCAAAAATTTGGAATTTTGGAAATCGAAATTTTGAAATAAAAAACATACAATAATTAGAAAATCGAAGCAGTGAAATTCAGGTAATTGAAAAATCAAAAATTGACAAATCGGATACCTTCAAAAACGAAAAATGGTAAAACAATTAAACCAAAAAACAAAAACTTGAAAATAGTGAAATTTTGAGCAAGTAAAAATCAAGAAATTGAAAAATTGTAAAATTACAAAATTGAAAAATTGGATAATTCTAAACTCGAAAATTTATAAAGTGGAAAAGTGAAAAATTACAAAATTATTAAAGTAAAAAAAAAAGATAAACCTGAAGATTCCAAAACCGAAAAATTGAAAAATCCATACATTGGAAATCTGATGATTGATAAATCAAAAATTAAAAAGGTGATTCACTGCAAACTGGACAATTAAGAGATCGAAAAATTCTAAAAATATAAAACTGAAGAATCGTATAATTTTAAAATTGAAAAATGGAAAAATCAGGCAACTGTAAAATCAAAAAATTGCAAAATTATGAAACTGAAAAATCAAAAACTTGGAATTTTGGAAATCCAAATTTTTAAATATTAAAAATAAAACATTCAAACAGTGAACTTCGGATACATTCAAAAACGAAAAATAGTAAAATAAACTAAAAGAATAAAAACGTGAAAAATTAAAACTTAAATTTTGAACAATTACAAATCAAAAAATTCAAAATTTGTACAATTACAAAATTGGAAAATTGGATAATTGTAAAATCAAAAAATTATTAAACTGTAAAGCTGAAAAATTGCAAAAATATAAAATTGAAAATCGAAATTTTGAAAAATAAAATTAAAAAAACTGAAAAATTTAAACAATGAAGTTCGGGTAATTGAAAAATCAAGAATTGAATAATTGAAAGAACGAAACATTTTAAAAATGAATTATGACAGAGAAAACTGAGAAATCGATTAGTTAAAAACCGAAAGACTGAGACATCCAAAAACTGTTAAAATGTAAAATTGAAAATCAAAAAAGTATCATCGAAAAATCGAATACCTTCAAAAACGAAAAATTGTCAAATTGTCAAAACAATTAAATCGAAAAGTTGAAATTGAAATTTTGAACAATTAAAATTCAAGAAATTGAAAAATCGGATAATTGTAAACTCAAAAATTTATTAAGTTGTAAAAGTGAAAAATTGCAAATTATTTTAATTGGAAAGAAAATGAAAAATCGAAGGATTCCAAAACCGAAAAATTAAAAAATCCATGCATTGGAAATCTGATAGTTGACAAATCAAAAATTGAAAAACTCATTCACTAACAAATGGACAACTAAGAAATCGAAAAATTTTGAAAAAACTGAGAAATTAAAAATTTGGAAAATTACAAAACTGAAAAATCGTATAATTTTAAAATTGAAAAATCAAAAATTGGGAATTTTGGAAATCGAAGTTTTGAAAAATTAAAAATTAAAAAATTGGAAAATCGAAACAATGAATTTCGGATAATTGGAAAAGCAAAAATTGAGTAACTGAAACAACGAAAAAATTTTAAAATTATAAAATTGAAAATTAAGAAATTGATTAATTAAAAACCTAAAGATTGAGACATCCAAAAACTGTAAAAATGTAAAATTGAAAATAAAAAGTATCACATCGAAAAATTGAAAAATTGGATACCTTTAAAAACGAAAAATTGGTAAATGATAATTGAACTGAAAAGTTGAAGTTGAAAAATTGGATAATTGTGAACCTGAAAATTTATTGAGCTGTAAATGTGAAAAACCGCAAAATTATTAAATTAGAAAGAAAATGAAAAATCGAAGGATTCCAAATCCGAAAAATTTTAAAATCCATAAAAACCGGATACCTTTGAAAACGAAAAATTATAAAATAATTAAACTGAAAAGTTGAAATCGAAATTCTGAACTCTTAAAAACCAAGGAATTGAAAAATTGGATATTTGTGAACTCGAAAATTTATTGAGTTGTAAAAGTGAAAAATGCCAAAATTATTAAATTGGAAAAAAAGAAAAACCGAAAAATTGAAAAATCCATAAATTGGAAATCAAAAATTAAAAAAAAACTGATTCATTACAAAATTCATTATAAAAATATAAAACTCAAAAATCAAAAAAATTGCAAAATTACAAAATTAAAAATTGTATATTAAAGTTGAAAAATTGAAAAATCAGACAATTTTTGTAAAATCGAAAAGTTGTAAAATTATGAAATTGAAAATCAAAAATTTGGAATTTTAGAAATTGAAATTTTGAAATAAAAAACCTACAAAAATTAGAAAATCGAAGCAGTAAAATTCAGGTAATTGAAAAATCGGATACCTTCAAAAACGAAAAATGGTAAAATCATTAAACCAAAAAACAAAAACTTGAAAAGTTGATAGTGAAATTTTGAGCAAGTAAAAATTAAGAAATTGAAAAATGATAAAATTACAAAAGTGTAAAAGTGAAAAATTGCAAAATTATTAAAGGAAAAAAAATGACAAACCGCAAGATTCCAAAACCGAAAAACTGAAAAATCCATACATTGGAAATCTGATGATTGATAAATCAAAAATTAAAAAGCTCATTCACTGCAAAGTGGACAATTAAGAGATCGAAAAATTCTAAAAATATAAAACTGAAAAATAGAAATATGTATTGCAAAATTATGAAACGGAAAAATCGAAAACTTGGAATTTTGGAAGATTAAAAATAAAAAATTAGAAAATCTAAAGAATGAAATTCGGACAACTGAAAAATTAAAAACTGAAAAATCGGATACCTTCAAAAACGAAAAACGGTAAAATAATTAAACTGAAAAAACAAAAATTTGGAAAATTAAAACTAAAATTTTGACAATTAAAAATCAAAAAATCAAAATCTGTAAAATAAAAAAATTGAAAAAATGGATAATTGTAAAATTGGGAAATTATTAAAATTTAATAATGAAATTGCAAAATTATATAATCCAGAAATCGAATAATGATAAAATCTAAAAACTACAAAATCGTAAAACTGAACAATCAATAAGTTGAAAAATTAAGAAATTGAAAAATCTGATAATTGAAAAATTAATCATTTAAAATCGGACAACTAAGAAACAGATAAATTGTAAAAATATTCTGAAAATATAACAAATCCAACTTTTTCGAAAAACTGTAAGATTTAATTTTGCGAATTTTATTTTTTTTACGATAACTTCCATAACTTAAAATAAGTGTTTCAAGCGAGCGTTTCCATTACAAAATTTTGTTATGACGTCATCAACATTCATCAACACGTGTATCAGTTTGAATAGGTGCAATTGTAATACTAAGAATAACAGTGTTGTATTACCAGATTTTCAGGAAAATCGATTGAACCGTTCTTGATTTAATCAATAAAATATATAACCAATTCTGACAAGTGTAGAATCATGATGACGTCATAAAGTTTTTGAAGGGGAATAAAAATTTACCATGCTAACTTTAAAACGTGACAAAATTTCAGAGCATGTTTTGCAGTTTCAAAATCAAATCGCAAGATATGATAGAAATTTGATTGTTTTTTCCAAAAATATGGATATTTAGGTTAAAAATTCAGCACGAGTTCATAAACTACACGTAGAGGATTATGTAATT